GGACCTTCTTCTCTATAAGGGCCTCTGTGGTAGGCAGGAGCCAATTTAGGATATGCCAGAGAAAGATCTTCAACTTTGGAGGGATATTGGCCTCCAATACCCGAATCCAGCTTGCGCTATCCATCCAACTGACTCCAGCTTTCCACTTCCCCAGCCGTTTATCAAGAGAAATCGCTAGATGATAAGCCGACTTGACCGAGAATACCCCATCAGGGGAATCATGCCAAATTAACCTATCCTCTACCGACTGCCGAGGAAGAGGTATAGCTTTGATGGCCCTGCATGTTGGTGGGTCAAACCATTGGCTAAGCGCTCGATCATTCCATTTCCCCCTCTCCCTGACAGATTATCTCCTCAACCTTCAAGTCACCCTCCATCGGCAACACCTGAGGATTAAAACGAGGAGGGTCCAACTGGAGGGAAGGAATCCAATTAGAATGGAGTAGCGAGGCAGACTTCCCATTCCCAATTTGCCACCGCAAGCCTTTCTCCAGTAAATCCCTACCATATAGGATACTTTGCCACCCCCATGAGGGACGAGAGCGAAGCGTCGCATTCAAAAACGAGCCCCCTGGGAAATATTTACGTTTATAAATCTGCGCCAGCAGGGATTGAGGCTCCATAAGAATACGCCAACCAATTTTGCCTAATAAAGCTTGATTAAACTGCTCAAAGCGACGGAACCCCATCCCACCCTCATGCTTACTTCGACACATATTTTTCCAGGACATCCAGTGGATACGACCCTGATCCACAGCATCCCCCCACCAGAAACGAGCCACATGTTTGTCCAGTAGCCGACACAAAGAGGCAGGAAGCTTAAAACAGGACATCACATGTAACGGCAACGCCAAAGCGATAGATTTTATCAAGATCTCTTTCGCCGCCCACGACAAGGTCCTTTGCTTCCACCCTTGAAGGCGCTCTAATAATTTTTCCTCAAGATACCGGAAGGTCTCCATCTTTGAACACACGATCAACGTGGGTAATCCCAGATACTTATCATGCACTCCTACCGCACCCACTCCTAGGATAGCAGCCAAGAACTCCTGATCTGTCCTGACAATGTTTTTACTAAAACACATAGCAGATTTATCCAGATTCACCCGTTGGCCACTTAGTTCCTCATACTCATTCAACACCTCTATCAAATTTTCACATTCCTGGAGGGTACCTCTCAAAAACAGATAAGAATCATCAGCAAAGAACAAGTGAGAGATACGGGGCGCACGCGGAGCCACTTTCACCCCCTCCAAACGTCCCTCCCGGATAGCTTGCCGCAGGAGGGCCGCAAAACCCTCCGTACAGAGCACAAATAGCAGCGGGATAGAGGGTCTCCTTGCCTCAATCCTCTGGAAGAAGTGAAAAACCCAGCAAGACACTTAAATTTAGTATATTATACAATTTGTATCAATTGTTCATTCTTGAAGTTTAGACTAAACCTCAACCGTGGTCATTGTTTATATGTTGGCTTAGAATCCCAATCTAAGATACTCACACACACTATCGAGGATTATGGTCTTAACATGGTCGTTGAATGTGTAATTTTCAAAGATTTTATCACTTATATATTAATAATTGATAAAGAGTGTATGCAATACACATATATTTCAAGTGCATTAAAATGTCTTATCATTTTAAGAATATCGGTGGATTTCATTTGATTATTTGTATTAACTTATTATCTTATACAACATATATCAATTCATGTTTTTCGAGTTTGGACGAACTGACAACCAATTTTGAGAGTTGAGATTATTGGATAAAGACACTTGATTGCTGGATAAATATGTTTATCCTAATTGACTATCTTACTAAAAATTGTCAGCCTTTATTTGGTAAATGTCTAGGTTAGTAGTTGATGAAACGTGATGTTTATTGTAGATTCTTAACAAAGATTTCTCTAACCTTCACATATGTTATTTTTCAAGGAATCTTGTGTCTCATCCTAGGGTATGAAGTCAAAGTTTGTCAATAATCATACTTAAGTCATTTTGAAAATTTTGATGTATAATCTTCGACGATAACTCCAATCTGAAAGAAATTTTTTTAGCATATGATTTAGGACCTCAATAGAGCTTGTTTAATCAACACGATATAGAGCAAATATTATTAATGTGAACTTAGGGCACATTATAAAATTACTGCACATGTGATTCCTCTTCATTTGTGGAGTTTAAGGTAAAACATGATATGAATGAATAAGAAGTCTTTTTTAAATAAATAAATGTAACTACTCGATCAAGATTATACTATGACATTTTGCTAAACAATACTTGTTTTATTTTATGGACATATACTTTACGAATAAGAGTTGTTTCATTGCAACAAAATATAAAGTAATATAGTTTATTTTTGAAAGGTAATTGAATGTCAAATGTTTATTTTCTCTATTTTCATATATATTTTGTTTAATCAATAAAAAAATTATTGTTTATGTGTAAGTTTGTTTAATTTTTTCATTTTAGTAAAAATGAGTAGAAAATTTACGTCATAAGGTTTAATCAGATATTTTTTATATAAACAAATGTGATATATGTCACTCTCTGTTTTCTTATTTATATTTTATTTAATTGATAAAAAAAATATTATTTATGTGTGTTTGGTTAAGTTTATTAACATGTAACTTATTATTAAAGAAAAAAATAAATGGATAAATGAAAAAGAATAATTGGATAAAATAAATGGAAACACTAAAGAAGAGAGAGGTAGCTCCATAAATACATTAATAACTAATTTTTTTGTTTGTATAAAAGTTATCCAACTTGACAAATTGTGGATCATCCAAGTGCTTATGTGGCAATAGATTACTTTTGAATTGTGATAATATATAATATAAATATAAATAAATATCGATAGATTACATTATTATCTTTAAAATTTTGAATTTTATTCATTGAAAACGTAATTGGTTTGATTTGGCATTTAGGAAACTTTTCTACGCAAAACAACTTAGGAAAATGAGGGTTTTGAGTTTTCAAAACCTTTGGATTTATGATGGATTTGTTGCATTATGGATTTGGAAGAGTACACTGTTTGTGTAGTTTATTTTTGTCATAGATTCATGATGGATTTGTTCACATTTTGCCTTCCATTATCAAATCCCAAATGAAATGTGGGATTTGCAAATCCGTGGGGTCCACGGATTTGGATCTAAAAAATGGGTCCAAATTCGTGGACCCCACGGATTTGTGTCCCTTAGCAAACAATGGACTTGTGCCAATTCCATTATGCTTGGGATTTGGGTGTACCCAAATCTCACAAGCAAACGATACCTAAGTGTAACAAGTAAAAACTGAAAACTAAATGGTTTGCGGTAAGAGGATTTGAAACCCGACCGCTGGGGTAAATAAAACCAAGCAACCGTTGGACTACATGCATATTATGCTACAATTCTAAGCACATACGTATTCTTACTGTTTTAATTTTATTCTCGAAACAAAGATCGATATATACGTGACCCGCCCCCCTTACGTAAGCTGTAGCTCCGCCCCCTGAATACAAGGACCAAAGAATCACTACAACACGAATATAATCAATACTATAGGGTTTAATTCATAGTACATCTTGACGACATAATACAAGAATTAACAAACAAAGACCTCATTTTTGCAAACCCAAAAGAAAAATGCCTGAAACGACATGCACCTACAGCGGTAAGCAACTCGTGAGCTGGATAAGTCATAAAAGGGGGTGAAATACAATTTGTGCCACTTAAGTTTGGCAATTGGTGAAGCCATACCATTAAAATTAATTTAGTGCATCGAATACCACTTAAATCCAATTAATGTGCGTCCGTCAATATTTCCATCCAATTTACTAACAGAACGTGTTTGACATGTTAGCTTTCCCACACTCTGGCCAAAAATAATAATCATCCTCCCAAAAAATAAATCAATAATCGAAACAAATAAAGCTCACAAACCCTACTCTCATCAAGCCTTCGTCTCCTTTCAATCCCACTGACCTTCGGGTTCTGCTGGCCGCATAACTTTGATCTGCCCATTGTTTTGTTAGTTTACGCCAATAATTTCAGCTGGAAAACACCCTAGCTTGAATTTTGAAGCCTTGAATCGCAACCAAATCTTCAATAAAAAGTTGCAGCATATGGAAGAAAACCCACAATGCATGGAGGAAATTTTGAGGGCCCAAACCAGGAAACAGTTCAGCAAACCCAATCGCAATTGTCTCTGCCCTTTATAAATCTCACTGCTCTCTGATTCTTTGACGCCATTTTGGATTTAGGGGATGCAAAATTGTCGTGTTCAGTGTTGTAATCGAAGCGATGATGGCGGTTGGATTAACTTTACGATCGCGCCACTAGCTGGGAGCTTGCTCCTCGATTGTCACCGCCGGTAGGAACGAAGGGAGATCGAAGGTTTATTGTCCACCAAAATTCAAAGTTTGGGGGTTGAGGGGAGACGAAGGATGTGAGAATTGTGGTCTTATGCGAGAGTTCCACTTCCTATTTTTTGTTTTTATTATTGATTTTGTTTTGTTTTTATAGGATGTTCATATATATATATATATATATTCCGTCAGAGTATGGGAGGACTAATTATGTGGCAAGGCTGACGTGTAAACATACCAATATTAAATTCCTTCAGTTAGTAAATTGGATGGAAATATGGATGGACGCACTTTAATCGTACTTAAGTGGTATCTGATGCACTAAGGGGTCGTTTGGAAGTTGCGATTGTTAAATAGATGTATTGTTGAGAATGCATGTATAATATTATACATGTATTGTCGAATTTGATGCATTGTAGAGTACAACGTTTTGTATGTGTGATTGTGTATGTCGCATTAGCTAAAAGCTGAGACAAAACAATCGCAACTCAACTATCTCAACAATCATAACTAAAAGTTGAGATATAACAATCACTCAAAATGAGTGATAGTTTCTGTCACATCACAGAAACAATCCAAGTATTGTTTCTGCTAAAAAACAAACAAAAAAAACGATGCATTATAAACAATACATGCATAATGACAATCTCAACAAAACAATTGCAACTTCCAAACTACCCCTAAATTAACTTTGATGGTATGACTTCACCAATTACCAAATTTAAGTGGCACCATGTGTATTTCTCTCCTATAAAAGGGAAGAGTCCGACTGTAGTGACAAAACTTACAAGATCTAAGGCGGACTAAAATAAGCGTGGTGGTGATGAGATCGGCGCATGAGAATGGAACTGAGGCTACGGCGACTTCGGCGCGGGCGACGACGACACAGGATCAGGAAGCCGACAAGTGATGTAAGGATTGGGAAGGCTACTGAAGCGAGGTCGCAGAAGGAGAGGGATGGCGAATCGGACGAGTCTGACTCTAGCGACGGCAAGGGAAGATCTGGAGACGCAGACGACGGATGCAAAGTTGGAGAGGGCGGATACCTTTATTTCTATTGGGGGTGCCCTTTAGGGATGACAACAAAACCCGAACCCACGGGTACCCATCTGACCCAACCCGATCAACGCGGGTAAAACCCGTGTTGACTGGTTTTGGGCCGGGTTCGGGTTTAAACCCGCTACACTATTCACCGGGTCGGGTTGAGTTTGGGTTTAGATAAACCCGCCCCATGGCTACCCGCCCACACACATATAATTACTTTCCCGATATATTTAATATTCTAAATAATATATCTTCCTTAAATAACTAATATTCTATATGTTTGTGGAGACATGTATAATTTGTTCTTTCTAATTGTTTAGAATGAAGTTGATATTATGAAGTGGAGAGTGAAGAAACTTAGTTGACGAGGAAGAAGCTTTCAATTAATCTTATTGTTTATATATGTTTATCTTTAATTTTGAACAATTTGTATTGATCATTTGCGGTTTGCTTGTATGCTCTAGATTGGTGTTTTTTGTATGATTAATTTGTATGAGAAAATTGATGTTAAACTTTTATTTTGAAAGAAACTTGTTATTGTAAATTTTTACCACAAAAATCCACGGGTACCCATGAACCCGCGCATACCCAGCAGGTTGGGTTGAGTTTGAGTTTTTCAAACCCAACATATTTTACCCCGAGTTTTTTTTTTTTTGCGGATAAACCCATGGGTTTGGGTTTGGGTTGACAAAACCCACCCCATTCCCATCTCTAGTGCCCTTGTGATGAAAGAGAAAGGGGATACATGAAAAGAAAAGGGGAAGGAATTAAAAAGGAAATGGACTGTTGATATTCCACCCACAAAATCATTACAAATCAAGCCGAAAATCGGGTGATGACGTCACCTACCACACTTAATTCCCAAAACCCCCTCATGGGGAAACATTCATTGGATTGGGCCAGATTAATTTCTATGGTGACGAGGTGAATTATCACCGTGCTAACTAACTACATGGTTAGCATGCCATCCTATTCCGAATTTAACAAGTAATATCTAATCTTACGTGGAATGTACGCAAAAATAAAAGCAAAAGCAATCATATTGTAGAATGAAAAACAGGGGGCGGAAACTGCAACTGCTTGACTTCATTTGTAAATCATCGTACAGAAATTACACAGACAAGTTCTGTGAAGTTGACAAAGGATGAACAAGATTCAAAAGTATCTCCATCTGCTTCTCATCACTCTTTTCATATTTCGCTAGTGAGCAGACATAGTTAACTACTATATGATGTTGTTAGGTTACACTGGACACTCTTCCACTTTTTCTTTCCTCTCTTAGGTGAGCTCTACATGAACTACTACATCTCGACTCTATCAAACGAAAATCAACAATAAACTGGAAACGGGAGAAAACGAGGGACCAAGCAAAAGAGAACTCATTCAAAAAAAATAAAATAAAATAAAATAACAAGCACAAGAACTTGCTACCTTGCCTAATTTTTTTCACAGGTCACATCAACAACTATAAACAACTTGATGCATTCCTTCACCGCCATCAGCCTTCGCTGGGATGAAGAAGCTTTTTTCCGAAGTTAGAGCAAAACAGTAACGAGCAGTATGAATTATGCCTTGACTGTCGCCCTCACTTTGAGGCTGCTCGAGTTGACAAGTTATCATAAGCTGTGGGAAAGCGAAGGCCAACATCGATGTGCCTTGATGTGGGGAATAACCAGCAGAGGATGTTCGGGCCAAGTATCTGAAGCAATTCAGAGAGATATGAGTTCACTAATAAATCAATGTACAATTCTCAATTTCTCTTGTTTCATGAGTCCATAACTGCACTTTATGAAATATAATCTGCCCCATCTTACCTGCATTACCTACGAATGAAGTTAACTAGGCCCCTATGATAATTTCAGAAGAAGCTCAGGAAGGAAACTGACTACCCTCATTCCACAGTTTCATGGTTTGGAAAGAATCAGGAAAATATGTTCACCAGAGAGAGGGAAAAGATGAGGCAAGGGACATGCTTACTGCTGTCAAATTTTCAAAGCCACCAATGTTATAAGGATGCTTGTATAAATCTCCTCCTTTCTCCGCAAGCCACATGGCCCTAACTCCTTCATGATACTGCCGCCAAATGATTAACAAATCTGATTAATTAATCATTCAAATCTAAGATCATCAAAAGAAAGCCATAAAAAAAGTGAAAGTGTGGAGATAAACCTCAATTGTTGTTTTATTTTGTAGAATTAGGTAGATATGCCAACCCAAAAGAACACTCAGAGCCATACTAACGGGAAGTAACAACAATCCTGAAATTACCTGAAACGCATGTATCAATCACAAAATTGATCAAAATTTTACTTTTCTATTTTAGCTCAAAGCTATTAAAGAAAAATCAGCACATACATATATACTTCTAAAGAACCCGCCAATTTGCTGGTCATCCTTTTGTGGATCAACAGTCAGACTACCAACAAGCAATACCTGGGAATTTGTCGAATGACAGAATAATGAGCGTCAGTATTATAGTATATACTCATTACAGTCTGCCAAGGAGAAGTGGAAACTATTAACTGTTTAGAATGATAAGTAAAACCATACATACCAGGGAGTAAATGCAAGCAGTTACAGCATACACAACAAAGATGAAGAAGATCTTATAGTTTGCATGACCCACACAATTGTTTATCCAAATGCAATGATGGTCCTTCAAAACAGAAAAAAGCACATTCAACACATTGAAATGAAACTTCGCTAGTAATTAAGAAAATCAACAAGATAGATATTTCACACCATCCGTAATACACATCGTTTGCATACACGACAGTGATGAGCTCGTGGTGGCTTATAGTGGGAACACTTCTGGCAATATCTTAAATCTCCTCCCTGCATAAATCACAACATGTGCAACAGCTGAACTTACTGTTTCCATATCGAAATGATCAATTAAATTGCCCAATCAGGTATAGAAAAAAATAAGCAGTCCAGTATGGAGATTATTGGTAGCAGTTTAACTAAGAAGATGACAGTACATATCATATTGAAAAAACACCCAATCACTCTTGTGGAATTGAAAACAAGAACTTCACAGAAAATGTCAATTAACTACTACTTCTCCAACAAGGTAGGGCTACACCATGGAAAAAGCTATATCAACAACCATAGGGGTATTATCAATAAGATGGAAGCGATCAGTTAAACTGAAATTTGCAATATCTTTGTAGGCCAACGATTTGCAGTTGTTATTAGAACTGAAAACCTTCCATCTGCTCAGGTTATTACAAAGACTAATTCACTAGGTTAAGCTCCACTAAAGAACCAATAGACCTAGACGGAAAGGCACAAAAACCTCAAGTTTGTGAAATGCTGATTCTTTACAGAAAGAGTAGGACAAAGACACATGACAACATATGCAAGAGCACATAAAAACAAATTAGCTGCCAAAAATATTAACTCCCCAACCAATGCCTAGTGGAGTCAGTATCGAGATCGACGTCAATTTACACGTGCACCTTCCTTTGTGTTACTGTTATCGTAAAGTAAAACCTTCAAAAAGGAAAAATATCAAAATTGCTAAGGCGGCCAATCAACTCCATATTTCTGGTAGTGTGAGAATGAAGATACAATTACCTCACAATATGGAAGGGCTCAAAATGTGGATCTGAAATACATTAAATTCTAAAAACGCAGATTTGCAGTTACAGCAAAGTGCAATGAGAAAATTTGAAGGCCAATGCTACAACCACAAAAGAACATAAGTATTCCAACTGCATATACAAGCTAAATCAAACAAATGCTCAGATTCAATCAGCGGTCTAACAGGGTGCTAATAACCAACGTTACAATTTGCTTAGGCTTTGTGAGAATGGGGAACTATTACCATCGCTACTTGGAACAACGAAATTCTTGGAAAACCCTAAATCAGAACATTCAAAACCCTCTCTCAACACAACAATTCTCCAGATGCAGGAACCAACGAATATCAAGTTCTTTCATTTGAAATGATTAACTAGCAACATCAAGATCCTAAACATTAACAAAATTCCCTTTACATAAAAACATATTCAAGATGAAGATATTTCTTCAATGGTGCACCGATAGTAGTTCCCATAAAAGCAAGATCAGGTAAGACTAATACAGAAATTTGAAACCCCAAAAGCTCAATTCCCCTCTACCATACCCTAAAAGCTATTCCTAATAGCCACATTGTAACCAGATATCATAATTGCCAGAGAACATAGAGGAGAAGAGCAATGCAAGCAAGAGAGTGGAAAGTTTATCTCTTTTCTGAAACCTTACTTTGCGTTTGATCTCGTGGATAGGGTTATCGGCGTCCTCGATATCCGGCAAATAAGTGGAAGGAACCCGACCTGGATCCGTGATGATGGCAGCGGAGTAGTTGAAGATGCACATGACGGCGACGGCGGTGAAGACGACGGCGTTCATTACCCCGGGAGAGGACATGAGACCAAACCACCGATCGACGAAGACGAAGATGGTGGAGAAGTATATAAATACGATAACCAAAACAACCACGGTAACCGGAAGGGAGAAGCTAGGTCGTCGCTTCATTGTTGCCTATCGTTGGAGCGTCGGGACCGGCGATAGGCGGGGCGAAGGTGGACGGAGGCACCGGCGTCTCCGCTGAAGGTGAGGACCCTTTATAGTTTATATTTTCTTCTGTCCTTTATTTATTTGTTTTTCTTTTTCTATTGTTATTTGGTTTTCTTCTATTCCTTTATTCTTCTTCCTTCCTTCCTTCCTTCCTCTCTTTCCTTTTGTTGGCAGGAAATAAGGCAACGGAGCTGAGGAGAAGAGTGGGCAGTAGGTGACGGCTTCGCGCATGTAGATGTTGCCGTTAGTTATGGCATAATCAACTCTGTAGGGTTTTTTTTCTGTTGAGAACCAACCAGAATTTCAAATCGAGGATAGATCATGGCAATAGACAGAGAATGAAGGAGGAGCAGAAAGGGATCTGCCATTTTACATTTTCATTGAACCCAAAAATAATTTGAAGGAGGATGGAGTTGATACCTAAATTTGATGGGGAAGGAGGTAACCGGAGGCGGGATGTCAGCGGAGGATAAGGCGGTTCTGGGTGTTGAGGTGGAGGAAGGAAGGAAGCTGAGGATTAAGGCGGTCCTGGGGACTCCGGATGTGGCGCGAGTGGGTGGCGGCCGCTGGGGCTCTCTGCCGCCGGCGGCGATCGGGGTGCGAGGGAGAAGAGAATGAAGATGGGCAGAGAGGCTCGACAATGGAGATGGTGGAGGGCAGACGCGGAGTCACCAGGGGAGCAGGCCACGCGACGCAACGATTAGGTGTGAACAAAATAGGAATTTTTATTTTTTTTTTCCCGGTTTCTTTCGCACAAAACGATGCTGTTTTGAATAT